TTTTATAATATTTAAATAATTATTAATAGAGTTATATTAAAAAAACCAATTTCAAAAAATTATGACTTACACTGTATGTTTTAGTCTAATCATATATATTATTTGGCTGGAGATCAAAATTCTTGATTATTGAGAAATCAATATTAACAATATCTTTTTGACTAATAATAAAAGATAATCTTTAATTTTTTATAGGATGTTAAAAAAACTTTTTTCCACTTCTCTTTCCTGCGCTTGAAAATTTTCTTTTTAGAAAACTTTTTGAGTTGTTTACTTTTTTTTTGTTTTTTCTCTTTCCTCTCTTTCCCTTGGCCACAAGCCTTTTGTTTTCCTCTTCCCTTTTTCTCTCTACTCTTCTATATATAACTCTTTAATTATTTTCTCTTTTCCTGTTTTTTTTTTCCTTTTCCTATCAAAATTAGGTTTTTTTTTTTTCCTGAAGTTTTTCCTTCCTAGACTTCTTCTTTTTTAGAAAACTATCATGATTCATTTTATTACTCCTCTGATTAGCTGATTCCATTTTCTCAGAAACCATATAAGAAGTGGCAAACCTTCTTCAAGAAGTAGGCTTTGACAAGTTTTTCTTTTCTATGATTTTTTAGAAAAAGAATAGATGATTTACCCCTTCAAAAGATTAGCATAACTATTATTATCAAATCTGACATTGTTTACTTGTTGATGGCTAGACTAGATACATCTAAAAAACTGATGTACACTATTATTAGCTGAATCTCTAGGTGCTATGCCTCATGGAAATCTAATAGGACAATATGTGAAGACCAGGGATTAGGGTTCCGATCGATACCATTCGGTATGGTATTTTGTAAAACCGATACCGAAATTTTTTTTCGGTATCGGTATCAATAATTACCGAAAATTTTCGATACGATACTTTAAAGTACCGATATCGAACCGAAGTACCGAAAAATTAATAATAATTAAAATTAGAATTCTGATCAGTATTATATTGTTATAAGCTCTTAAACGCGCCTCTTTCATCAACAACATTGCCAACGTTATTTTATCTTCACGCGATTATGAATATTGGATTTCTTAGATAGTCCAAATCCTGACATAAAAATGAGTTTTGCCATAGATTGAGGATGAACTGCCGACACCTTCCACACCACTCCGAAATGAGAAACTGGAATTTTCCTCGATTTCGAAGAATTCGCCTGAAATGTTGACTTCTCAGTCACCTTAACTACCAACAATAATAAAGTTGGTCCTTCCAAAAACAGCACGTACGCCTCAACCGGCCAAAACCTCACCCAAGACTACCATTACACCGGAATCTCAGTCG